GAACGAGTAGGAGGAGGGGCAGAGGGAGAAGCAGACTACCCGTGGAGCAGGGAACCTGACTCGGAACTCGATCCCAGGACCCTGGGATCATGACTAGAGCCGAAGGTATACACTTAACTGACTGAGCCACCCAGGCGCCCTGAGAAAGTACTTTGAGACTGGGGACTCTATACAGTTTACTCAGTTTTACTCAGGGTAACACTGACAGGGGGCTCAGACGGGTGAGGATCCAGAGCTGCCCAGCTATTCTGTGCAAAGTTCCAATCTTAAGCCATAGATTTTATAGGTCAAGGGGATGTACAGAGGGCACTATGGTGAGGTCAAAGGGTCTAACACTTAACAGACCTCATGGTGCCACCTGTGTGCCGAAAGAGGGGGAAAGAAACTATGTTATCTCTACTAGTTACCTAAGCAACTTTAGGGGAGATCAGAACAAGCCCTCCCGCATTCCGGGCCGGGCATACATTAATCCCCCAGGGGCCTGGAACAACGTACCCCCAAGGGAGGTCATTGCGTGGACGTGAACAAGATGGAGTCAGTGTTGTCAACCTACCTACAGTTGAGGAGCCTGGCATAGGAGGCGATGTATTCATTCACCCACTAGACAGATATATTTTGTGTCACTTAATATGTGCCTGGCACTGTGTTAGCACTGGGGATATATTTGTAAATAAGACACCTAGCCTAAGGTCTGGGGTCTTGAGGGGTTTTCGTTATGGTGGGGAGAATGACAAGTAGGAAGAAAACTAATTTTAGCTTGCAGTAAGCTTGGTGAAGGAAATAGCCGATGTGTTTGAGACTAAATGGGGAAAGGGCTACTTCAGATGGGGAGGAGATGACATGTGACTTCAGAGCTTAATGTTAAGAATGAACTAGTTAGGGCGCCTGGGTGCCTCAGTTGGTTAAGCGACTGCCTTCGGCTCAGGTCATGATCCTGGAGTCCCGGGATCGGGTCCCGCATCGGGCTCCCTGCTCAGCAGGGAGTCTGCTTCTCCTTCTGACCCTCCCCCCTCTCATGCTCTCTCTCTATCTCATTCTGTCTCTCAAATAAATAAATAAAAAATCTTTAAAAAAAAAAAAAAGAATGAACTAGTTAGTAAGAAGACAGAGGGCAGAGGTCCTGATATGGGCAAGGATTTGCTTATTTGAGTGACATTTTGAAGGAGACCAGTATGGCTAGAATTCAGTGAACGTGGCGGGGACAGGAGGGATGGTCCACTGGATGATTGAAGACTGAATGATGTGATTTAACTTAAGTTTTAAAAACATGGGCTTGGAGTGATAAGTTTGGACAGGGATTTCTCCAAAAAAGATATGCAAATGGCCAATGAATGCATGAAATTTTGCCCCAACGTCAGTAGTCCATAATGAAATGCAAATCAAAACCACAATGAGATACCACTTCACACCCACTAGAATGACTATAATAATAATAAAAAAAAAAAAGGACAATCATGTTACTGAGGATGGAGAGCATTTGGACCCCTTATCACTGCTGGTGGGACTGGAAAATGATGCGGCTGCTGTGGAAAGCACTTGGGAAAACATTTCCTCCAAATAGTAAATATGGAGTTACCATATGACCCAGCAGTAGCACTCCTGGAAGTATACTTGAGAGATATGAAAACACACATCCACACAAAAACTTGTGCATGAATGTTCCTAGCAGCGTTGTTCATAATAGCCAAAAGGTGAAAACAGCCCACATGTCCGTCAGCTGATACATGCATGAACAAATGAGGTCCATCCATCCGCATCCAATGGAATAATACTCAGCAATTCAAAGGCGTGAAGCCCGGGTACATTCTACAATGCAGGTGACCCTTGGAAACGTTTTCCTAAATGAAGGAGGCCAGTAACAAAAGACCGTGTATTATAGGATTCCATCTATGTGAAATATCCAGAACAGGCAAATCCACAGAGATAGGGAGTAGGTTGGTGGTTTCCTAAGGCCAAGGGCAGAATGCAGAGTAATTGCTAATGGACACAAGGTTCCTTTTGGGGGCATGAAAATGTTCTGGTGATTGTTGTCAAAGTCTGTAAATGTAGCAACATTCATTGGATTACAAACTGAAAATGGGCAGCTGTGATGGTTTAGGAATTATATCTCCATGAAGTTGTTTTTAAAAAATCAGCCCGCTCAAAAACAAAACAAAACAAAAACAACCAACTATGGTTACATTTAATAACATGACAGTACCAGAAATAACTTTACTGGATGGAAGAAGCCAGACAAAAAAGAGTACATATTCTGTTTCTATTTATATAAAATTCTAGAAAATACAGTCTGATCTGTGGTGACAGAAGGCAGATCAGTGGTTGCCTGGGGCCCAGGGGTGGGGTAGGGACAAGGAGGGGCAGGTGGAGAGATGACAGGAGGGTGCCAGGAAACTTTAGGGGGTTATTTATTATCTTGATTGTGGAGATCTGTGTTTCACATGTAACTTATCATATACCTGTGTAGTTTATTGTGTGTCAGTCATACCTCAATGAAGCTGTTTAAAAATAATCAGTCTGGGGCATCTGGGTGGTGCAGTCGGTTGAGCATCTGATTCTTGGTTTCGGCTCAGGTCATGGTGTCAGGGTTGTGAGATCGAGCCCTGCATCGGACTCGGTGCTCAGCGCTGAGTCGGCTTCAGATTCTCCCTCCCTCTGCCTTTCCCTCTGCCCCTCTCCCCGCTCGTGTGGTCTCTCTCTCCTTCAAATAAATAAAAATAAAATCTCAAAAAGAAAAATCAGTCTGGTTGCTGGGTGGAGAAAGCCTCGGTGGGGGGCAGAATTGGAAGTTGAAGAACCATGAGAGGTGGCAATGCTTGAAATCGGGGTGGCGACCCCGGAAGAAAGTTGATGGAATGAAACACACCTTGGAGGAAGAACCCATGGGGGATGGATCTTGGGGAAGGGGAAAGGGTAGGAAAAGGGGTGATCTTTAGGTTTTTTGCTTGAGCAGCTAGATCTATATAATAGTGTCATCAACTGGGGAAGGAACAGGTTTGGCGAGTGGGGAGAAGCAGGTGTGCCATTTTGGAAAAAACGAGTGTTGGTGAGATGTCCACGCAGAGATATTCAGTAGGCTGTTAAGGATGTGAGCCTGGCACTCGGGGGACGGAGCTGGATGGTGAAGGTAAAGTTGGGGGCACCAGCATGAAGATGGTGCATAAAGCCCTTGATGACATCGCTGAGCAGGGAGTGTAGACGAAGAGCCCCTGAGGGTCAGAATCACCAGGGCGGCTGGGAGATTATGCCTGGGGTGGCCGACGACGGGCAGGTGTGCCAGGACCAGGAGCTCTCACAGAGGAGGGCAGGGCTACCTGGGTGCTGGTGAGCCAAAGAAAGAGGGGGCGTGTGCATTAGCTATGGTGACATGAGGGTCCTTGGTGACAACAGGCACTTTCTGGGTAGTGGATGGCACGGACTCCAGATCGGGGTGGATCGAAGCACACACAGGAGGTGAGGCTGTGGGGTCAACAGGGACAGGCCGCTTGGGATGTCTTGGGAGCAGAGAGAAGGGACAGCACAGGAGCGGGTGTGAGGTCAAGGTCGTGTGTGTGTATATATATGTTTTAAGATGAGAGAGAGCACAAGTTTGAGTTGTTGGGAAGCTCAATCCCGGAAAAGGGAATGTGGCAGCCCATTTCCTCCTTGTGAAGATCAGGGGATGGAATCCTGCGCACACATGAAGGGCTCACCTTGAGAGTGAGGAGGGATGCCCATTCCTCCCGTGGAACTGAAAGGGAGAAGAAGTTCAGACACAGGCGTGGTTCTAGATTCCATGATGAGAAGCCAGGGAGACTCAGAGCCAAGAAGTTGGAGGACACAGGGGTGATGTGTGGCGACTGTCCTGGAGACTAGTACCCACCAGGGCCCTGGGGACAGGCTGCCTCGTAACTGCACCACTGCCTTGGGGTTGGAGTTATGAATTTAAGATGAAAAGGACCTAACTAACCACCCACTCTAACAGGAGGAATGGTCTGGAAGTGACAAGGGAGGGCGAGGAAGACCCTCCTCGCCTGTGTCTCTGAAGCAGGTGGGGTAAACACACAGGGGAGGCGGCTTCCCCGCGTGAGGCCAGCTTTCAGTGCGGGCAGGAGGCGAGAGAACATGGAGGAGAGGCTGAGGACCTAGGGAAGGCCCTGCCCGTGGGAGGGGACAGTGAGGTTGGAGAGGCAGTGCCGAGAGGTAACGAGAAGGCACGAGCTCTCTTCCGAGGGACCTGGCAGTCTGACGTTGGCAGGACTCTGGGGACTAATTTGCCAAAGAGCAAAGGAGCCCGGAAAATCTAGTCTTCCATAGGCTCAGTCCGCAGAGCGGTAGATGGTGGCTTTCTGCAGATGTTCGGGACCAGATGGCTCTGTTGGGGAGGGTCTGGGGCCCCTGGGCTATGGGGAAAAGGCCCTTGAGGTCAGCTCCCCTGCTCTCACCAGTGCAGAAGAACCAGACTGTGGGAGTGGGCGATCCTCAGCAGAGCCCTTGTCTGTTTTGAGGGAGCTTAGCCTGGCTGAGAGGAGGGGACTCCTCCCCCTCCCCCTTCTGCCAGAGGGCTTGGCGGACACACTTTGCCAGAAGACTCTCCCTCATGGGGTTCTTTGCTTTGCATTGTGTGAGGCCCTGATTCTCCCTCAAGTGACTTGCCCTGTACCCCTTTAATGCCTCTCTCATTGCTAATGCTTCTTTCTCTCAGTATTTCCCTGTTCAGATTCCAGAGAGGGCAGGTGCTTCGCCCAGCCAAGCTCTGGGCTCCGGCCATGCAGAATTGCCATCCATGGACACCCATCCCTGAGCGGGTCACTGGGCCAGAGGAGAGGTCACACGTGGCTGCTCAGGGCTGGGGGACGGGATGTGTCTGGCTGGGAGAGCAGTGCGGGGCGGTGGGTTTTCCCATTCCCAGGTGATGGGGGCAGACCTGGGAGGGCCTGACACCCGCAGAGCAGGGGGGCAAGAGTGATGAAGGCCGCGCGGACGTGGGGGCTCAGGCTGACTGGCCTTCCTCTTTCTCATAGCACTGATGTCTTCATCTGCACGAGCCCCACAAAGATGTACAAGTACTGTCCCTACGAGAAGGTAAGATGTGCAGCCTGCTTGCAGCCTCCTCTCATCTTGACCCCACGTGTCACAGGTAACTAGAGCTCAGCACACCCCGGGGGAGGGGTGCAGACCCTCACAGTGAGGCCTTCGGCAGCTGGGGTGGCCTCGTTGCTGCCCCTTCTCCCGTCCCTCCCTCCCAAAGACCTTTGCTAGCACCAGTCTGACATTCCAGCACATTCTCTGCAGGGAGCCTGGTGAGAAGGCCAGGTTCTCTGGAAGGTGACCACCCCCATGGTAGTGAGACATCATTTGTGAAGGGTGAGGCGCTGGAGGCAACCCAAACCCAAACATTAGGGTGCGTGAATGTATTTATGCAAAAGTCTTACAAAAGCGAAATGGTTACATTGCGCTTCGCCACACACTCGTGTCCTCATCTTCATTGAAAATAGAATTACTTAAAACTGAGGTTTTTCTGGAAATTGGGAACCTGTGGTGGCTAAACCCATGGGAAAGGTGTGTTGCCCAGGAGGTGGGCATTTGCACAGGAGGTGGGTTCAGGGGAAGTGGGAGCAGCCTCCCCAGTCCAGGAAGGTGGGATTGGGGGCCCCAGTACCCCCCTGCTCCCGGGGTGGGGTGGGGTGCTTGCTTGGCACAGACCTTTAGGCAAGAGTTCTCTCAAGTGTGTTCACATGATCTCTCCCTCTTCAACTCCGTATTAGAAACAAAATGCACACAGTCCGCCAACATTAAATGCCTTTGGTGTGTGTTAAATGGAACGGGGACTCACCCTTACTGAGTAGTTAACAGCGGTGTTACGGGAGGTGCTTGGCAGCCACCGAGTCATCACGTGCTCCCGCGCCCCATTCCCTGGTTATCCCTGTGACTTTTTACGGGAGTTTAGCTAAACTCAGGGAAGTTAACTTGATAGAAGTGGACGTTCTCCAGCCCCTCCTGGGACCTTCTGAGCTGCCCAGTGTGTGTGTGGTTTTTTTTTTGTTTTGTTTTGTTTTTTAGATTTTATTTATTTATTTATTTGAGAGAGAGAATGAGAGAGAGAGAGAGCATGAGAGAGGGGAGGGTCAGAGGGAGAAGCAGACTCCCCACTGAGCAGGGAGCCCGACGCGGGACTCGATCCTGGGACTCCAGGATCATGACCTGAGCCGAAGGCAGTCGCTTAACCAACTGAGCCACCCAGGCGCCCCTGCCCAGTGTGTTTTAACAAGTCCTGCAGGTGCACCCTTAAGTGTGAGTAACTATCAAGCTGGAGCACCTGCTTCAGCTGTGGTTGTAGCGGGCCATCAGGGCGATCGTCCAGGGCTTCTTGGAGGAAGAGGGATGCGATGGCTGTCATCCATGCATTCCTGTGGATCCAGGTTCCATCTTTCTGCCCACCATCGCACCTGCACAGCTTCAGCCCGGGACTGCACTGAGCTCCGGACAACTCAAACCTGATGTGTCTGTCCCTGGGCTCCTGACATCCCCGTCCCATGTCTGTCCCTCCCCTCTCGGTAGACTGGCATCGTCCACCAGCCTCTGAGGCTGAAAGCCAGGGAACCATCCTGGTGACACCCTTTTTACCCCTCACACCGAGTGCATCAGCAAGTTGTGTGTCCTGTTCAGGGTACCTGGTGTCCTGTTCAGGGTACCTGTTCAGGGTACCTGGCGTCCTCCTACTTTCTCTCCATCGCACCACCTTAGCATTTCTTCCTAGAAACACTCCGAGAGCCTTCTACACTGCCTGTTCATTTCCACCCAGAGCCAGTGGAGGTCTTTCATAAAGTAGATCATGTCAGCCCCCTACTAGAAAACCTTTTAACAGTTTCCCACTGCACTTAAAATAGAATTTTAAAATATATACATACACACACACACGAACTCCTCGTCAAAACCTGCCAAGCCCCTCCCAGCCACCTCTCTATCATCATAAGTTCCTGATTCTGCATTCACGATGCTCCCATGTTCCTATTTCTTGGACACGCTTCATGCCCCTAAACATGCAGAGACTCCCTGTGTGCCTCGTTCCTCCTCATCCCTTAGGTCTCACTTAGCTGCCCCCCCATTTCCTGACTGTATCTTAAAGCTTATCCTTTCTCTGCCTTGCTGTTCCATCCCTCAGCCCTTGTTTCCTGTAGAAACACTTGAAATGGGTTCGCGTCTTTGTCTATGTCCTGTTACCTGTCTGTCTCCCCAGCGGACTGCAAGCCCCATGAGGGCAACGACCATGTCTGTCTTGTTGACTGTGGGTCCCCGTGCCCGGCGCGCTGTAAACACCCAGGATTTGTTGTCGGATGAATAGATTCATTTGTTCAACAGAAGCTTATCAAACATATCTTTGTAATAATGTTTGCCATTTATCCGATGCCCCCAATGTGCCAAGCTCTATACTTTTATAATCAGTACAGCAACTCCCTGTGAAACAGAGGACTCCTCTGGTCTGACAGATGAAGAAGGAGGCTGAGAGGGGCAAGGTGGCTTGTCTCCTGGGTCTCGTGATCATACAGGCAGCGGGGCTCGGTCCAGAGCCGTGCGTCCCAGAGCCCGTGCCCCGAGCTGCTCCCACGAGCAGCGCATGCTCCCTGCCGAGGGTTTGGAGTCCAGTGAACACGTGAGCAGAGGATGGAAGTGTATTTTAAAATTTACATTTGTACATTAAAATTTCCAAACATATGAGAGGACTTAATTTTAGTTTTATCATTTTTTTAAAAATATGATTATCTTTTTCCTTGGACAAGAGTCAAGGAGAATAATTTTCTTATTTTTTTTAGATTATTTATTTATTTGACAGAGAGATATCACTTGGGACCCTCAGTTGCAGCAATGTGAATGGTGTCCGGCTAACTTGAACGAAAGTAAAGTTTATTAGGACACTATTGGTTTGCTCAGAGAATCACAGGAGAATCTGAAGGAGCAGCCCCTTGACAAGCAGGCTGGGAGCCAAAGCTGGCGGGCGGTCTCCCCAAGCATACGTGCTCGCAGAAGACCAAAGCCCCGTTCATTCTCCCTCTGTGGGTGTCTCTGCCCAGGATTCCCGTTCCCAGGAGAGAGGCTTCCCAGCTGAGCTCAGGTCACAGTTCTGGCACTTGGCCAGGGGAGCATAGGCATCCTGACTGATGTCCCATTAAGGACAGGGGTCTTTGCAGAGAAAAATCAAGGTGCTGATATCAGAGGAAGGGGTGCCGTGATAGTGGATAGTGGATGCCCTGACCAAACAAAGGGAAAAAAGCAACAAAACCCCGGCTACCAACTTACTACCTAGTGATAGAAACCCTGTTAACATTTTGAGGTGTTTGTTTCTAGTTTTTCTTTGATGCATATTAAATACAATACATATATTTTAACAAAACTTGAATCTCATGTGGTTTAGTATCCTTTTTCTCCTTAATGGAGTTTTAGCCTTTTTTCTGTCACCAAATATTCTTCAAAAGCATGATTGCTAAGAGCCGAAGTCATCTCGTACCTACATCTTCGTGTGATTATGTCCATAGGATAGATTCCAGGAGGTAGAATTCCTGGCTCCCACAAGAAGGGCACATTGTGACATGCACTGCAGGGAGGGGCATGTTGTCACCGCTATGCTGGCGTCCGGCAGAACACCCTTCCCACCCAGCGGCCAGGCCGGGCCACGTACGGTTGGTCAGTGGGGGAAGTGGGACACTGAACAAAGACATGAAGCCAGCAAAATGCGGAGTATGTTTGAGGAACTTTGGGTGAATTGTGTTGGCTGGTAGCCCTAGAGCCTGTGGGGTTGGGATCAGACTGGGGTACAGGCTTATCTCCCAGCCATGTTGTCACCTCCAACCCCCTGCCCCCGCCCCAGAACTAAGTCAGTGGGGAAGGCAGACAATGGTATCTTGTGAAGAGATGAAAATAGCCCCAGCCACCTCCTCTCCCGCTATCCATGATCCCTCCCATCCCTAGTAGATGGACCTTGCATCCTTGGCTAGTTGAGGCTGGGGGCAGACGGGTGCTGATGATTCTTCTGCCTGGTGCCTGTGGTGGGGGAGTGCAGGGGCTAGTCTCAGGACATCAACTGAGGATGGATGTTTTGCCCTCATGGTGGTCCCAGTGGGGGCTCAAGACCCAGAACTCTCACAGAGTTCTTCCCTCTGCTCCTGCCCCCCAGAGCAGCATCAGCCTTGGGCAGCCGAAGTGGAAGTTTTTCTCCTTAGTTGATTCCTCTCGAGACCCAGTCAAAGGAGGGAAGCCTAATTGCTAAGAGGTCAACTTCTTTATCATACCTAAGGAGTCAGACTTAGGTGCCATTTAGTTTATCAGAACCTTCTTTCTGGCTGGAGCTTGCTGACATTTTAAACCCAAACTGGCTCAGTAGTAGCTGACTCATGAGTTGGTAGTAATGCAGGCAAGGGCTTCTCCTGTAATGATCCATTAGCCTTCATAATAGCCCTTTGCAGTAGGTACTATTATTATCCCCATTCTAAAGATGAGGGAACTGAGGTACAGAGAGGTTAAGTCACTTGCCCAAGGTTGGCGGCAAGACATGGTGAGTCAGGGTTGGGCAGTCTGGCTCCAGAGTCTGTACTCTGTACCTCTGTGCTATGCTCACCCCCTTCTCTAATTCCACCTGACTCAGAACTCAGCATGGTTTACTAGTTGTTTTCCCCCAAGGAGATTAAAAAAAAAACCATGTTAAATTCTTCACACTTGAGCATGACAGTTTACTGTTACTTTCCCTCATTCCACAAGGTGAGTGATCACAAGTGGGATTAAGTGAGATGCTTGGTTGTAACAGTGGGACATGTTCTTTTCATCTGAAGTCGGGTCTCCTGATCATATGTCTTTCAGATGCTGTGGTTGATTTTAAGAATAAATGTTAAACATTTCCACCCCATCATCGAGCCTCTCCACTTAAACTCAAGTAAAAAAATGTAGATAATGAATTAAATTTCTTCACACATTTCACACCAAATTGTCCAACTGCTCCCAGAACTTGAGCCTCTTATAAGACTTACACTAAAAGGTGCATCACTTTCTCTTGCCACCAGCAGAAACCACAGGTTCTTTTGGGATCAGGTGGA